ATTGCTCAAACAGTTTCTGGTTAGGCATTGTCCTTCTAACTTAATCTAGGACTCGAAAACTTACCTCCATGGTCGTCTTGATCGTTAAATGCTTCCAAGTTTATATCAACTAATGAATACCACATTGTCTTTTTTTTTTCTAGGATGTAGAAGGTATGATGTCAATTTCTGTTGAAGCTGCTGCGGCTCGGGAGTCTCTGAGTGATGATAAAGAAATTGTTAACACTTACGAGGTAGCTTAAGTTTCTCTTCCCATGGATTCCAGGCATTTCTGAGTGCATCACTTTTTGAGAAAGTGAACGTCAGGTGTAAGGCATAACATTCATTCGTTTTGTTCATCCATAGAGACTAACAGCACTTGATGGTAAACGGAGATTTGCCTTAGCAGCTGCTGGAGAGGAGGTTGGAAGGCTAAGGTTTGTATTTTTTCTACTCTTTTCCTTACTTTGCTTTTCGTACTTTAATTCAAGAGTTAGTGGGCTGCTAAATGATTACGAGCTGGTAAGGAAGGAAATTAGGTTTCTATGCTTAAGTAAATGAACACTGCATGGAGTTGTTGTTCTTGTGATACTATCACAGTGATAGTGCCTATGATGATTTGATCCCACCTCTGGACTGTCTTTTCTTTTTACATGATCACGCACACCAATTTCTGAAGAGTTATTTTGATGGGTCCAGGGAGTATTTTGAAGACGTTGATAGAACATGGGAAACATTCGAGAAGACATTATGGGGTCACGTTTCCAACTATTACAAACTTTCTAAAGAAAGGTATCATCAGTAAAATATGGTTATGCGAAAGCTTCTCTGTCAAATTTCAATTTTGTTGCACTTTGCTGCCTCCTTTTTGTATTATGATGCTTGCTGGTATTTGATAATAATGGGGCTAGGTAATAACGTTAGGTCAAGGAAGAAAGGAATGTCAATGGATGAGAGGGATATAGTTGGAATATACCAGTTATTCGGTAACTAGATATGAACATTTATATATGACAAGACATAGTTTATGTAATGCTTTGTTCTCTGTGTTATGCTGTTAGACAGACCTTAGGGCTTAATTACACATTCGGAGTTTGCGCCTTGTTGAAAGAAGCTATTCATTGTTGCTAAGCTAGTAATTCTGCTAAGACATCAAATGTTACACACTTTCTTTTGGTTTATCTCAAAATTACTGATTTTCTAATTTTACTCTGGTACTGATGTTCCTCTTTGTTCTGCAGTCCACAAACACTGGTTCGTGCTTTGAGGTATGATTCCCCGCCAATAAAAATTCTTAAACCTTTGTCTATGGCATATACTATCAATATTTTGACTTTTCAGTAATCTTATAGCAAGCAAATCTGTTTTTACAAGCAAGATTGATTATACATATTTTCTGGTGATTAAAAGCAAGATCAGCTCAATTTGGTAAAGTCGGATAAAGAAGTTATTGTGTTGCCGTCAACTATTTTTGGACAAGCATGTAGTCTCTAATTAATTCCAGGCAACATACATTGCAATATAATGGATTTTATGCTGGAATTTAAAGTTCCCTAAACATGGGATAATGTCTCCTAGTTAGGTGGAAAGGAGGAATCTTCTTTTCAAGTGAACTGGTTAACTAAGTATGATACTAATTTAAAATGGTATCTTCTATCAAAGGGTTGTTGAGATGCAAGAAATTCTTGACCAACAACTTGCTGAAGAAGCAGCAGAGGCTGAGGGAGAAGGCGCAATGGCATCTGTAGCAAATCCTCGAAGACCTGGCAAGTGAGGCTGATAAGTTTTTGTTTATCTTCTTCTTGATAGGTTGTCTTAGTTCTTATTGAAAATCTGTCTCACTGCTTCACTGAGGGTTTGACTATAATAGAGGGTTTGACTATAATAGTTTATGCACTGACCTAGTCTCATGAAAGGCATTGGTATTTTATTGAAGTCCGAATGATTACTTGTGGCATCTCTTATGTTGTTTTTTTGAATCCAGGAAATCTACGACAACGTCAGCTTCATCAAAGGGTCTCGCTCAACAGAAATTAAAAGTCCAAGGAAAAGGCTACAAGGACAAATGCTATGAGCATATTCGAAAGGCAGTCGAAGATCGATTCAACAGGCTTTTGACGGTGGGACTTACTTTTTGAAGTTTTTTATTTGGTGGCATATCTAAAAGTTATATGTGTTTCTTTGTGAGGTCATCCTAACACTGAGTTATGATCAGCTTGTATTCGAAGATCTAAAAGCAGCTTTGGAGGAAGCAAGAACGGTTTGTGCGACTGATTCCCTTATTTGCATACTCTTCTTCATCATTTTCTCTTTATGAAGTTCATTGAACTTGTTACTCAACTATTTGATAGGTTTTTGTTTCTACTAAGCCTTTCGGGAGATCTCTTTTAATAGACAAATTAGTTATAAAAAAATTGGTATATAATAAAGTTGGTTGAGAATCTGTATGTACCTGTTCTCTTGCAAACGTTTCTGTTCCATTGACGTTAATCCCCAATTTTAACTATTTTATCTTTCACGGTTATAATAATTAATTTCAACCTCTTTTGCTTCTGTTATTTTTCACAATATTTTTTAAAAATTAACTGGGATTTTCACTTTTTGCTATTGTGCTTGACAACTAGATTGGAGAGGAACTTGGAGATATTTATGACTACGTGGCTCCTTGTTTTCCTCCGAGGTTATTTCTTATATCGACTTCTTCTTTTTTCTTCCCTCCAGAACAATGGAAGTTTACAGCTTAATGTAATTCCATTCTTCCAAGGATTAATGACCATCTTAGCAATCTTCACGATTGGCAGATACGAGATATTTCAGCTTATGGTGAACCTGTATACCGAGAGATTCATACAAATGCTCAGGTTGCTCAGTGACAGGGCGAACGATCTGACAAATATAGAGATTTTAAAGGTTTGTAAAGCTTGATCCTTAGTACGGTGCTTGCTATTTTGTGTCGCAACTCAGAGTTCGTATATTTTGCTTTTGGTGCTTTGGCTCTGTGTTTTCTGGCCGAATATCAAGGGCATTTTTAATCAACCATGCATGATATTCAAGCAAATGTCAAGCTAGTACGAGTTATTGATAGGGATTAGAAGGGGGTAATATTTTGTGGCTGACACTATTTTGGTTATAAGTTAACCTTTGTATTCACACCTTAAGACTGTATGCTCATCAGTATGCCTCATTTGTTTTCCCTTCTCGCTGTTCATCAGATATCCTATAGAGAGTGATGTCTCTTCTCTTTATGTTTTGGATCTTGCTAGGTGACTGGTTGGGTGGTAGAGTACCAAGAAAATTTGATTGCACTTGGTGTTGACGATTCACTAGCTCAAGTGTGTTCTGAGAGTGGTTCAATGGATCCTCTAATGAATGCATATGTCGAAAGAATGCAAGCTACAACGAAGGTGATGACATGCACAATTGACTGTTTTTTTAGTTAATTAGTTTTATAATTCTGTTTGCTCAAACCTTAGTTGCGAATCCTCTTTGGTTGCAGAAATGGTACATGAATATCCTTGAGGCCGATAAAGTGCAACCACCTAAGAAAACAGAGGAAGGAAAATTATACACACCGGCTGCTGTAGATTTATTCAGGATACTTGGAGAGCAAGTGCAAATTGTCAGAGATAATAGCACCGATGTTATGTTGTACAGGATTGCTTTGGCTATTATTCAGGCAAGTCGGAGAGAGAGAGAGGTTTCAAAGACATTTTTTGGGTTTTCCCAATTTCTTTGCTTGGCTATGAACTTAAATGGGTTATAATTGGAGATAATTCATTTTCCTACTCATGCTTTTTAATTGACTATACACTCAGCAATTTCAAATCAGTTCATATCTTCTAATACTCATGCGAAAATTAATTTTGGAGACTTTGCCACTTTCCAGTCATTTTTCCAACATCCCACTTACCCGTCCTTTTTTCCTTCCTTTCTCTTTTTATCTATTTGTTTCTTCTTCTTTGTATTTTAAGCTGATTGCAATTTTCCTGCAACAATCTTTAAAATTTTGTAGGTTTTGCAGCGTAGGG